CATCAGCGCAGAAGAGTACAGTGCAATAAGGAGAATGAAATAAAAAGAGGATTCCATAGCACACATTGTCCGCTAGTCGTTGAACATATGTAAAAGTTTTTTTTCTAAATAAGGTATAAACGTACTTCAAATAGCTTTGCGATGCAGGGCCTTTCATCAAATTTGGGCTTATCTGGTAGACATTGGAGCTGACCATAAAACGTTTTAACCAACAGTCTCGGGCAATCACTCCCCAGATCACAGGACAGCAAGTATGATTGCAAATCACCAATAAACATGTTTCTTATCAAGTCGTCGAGAGGAAAGTCAGGCGCTGCTTCTGTGCCTGAAAATTTGTGGGATCGACTTTTCCATAAAACAAGTTATTCACTCAGATATAAAACTGAGGGAGAAGACGAACCCGGAACTATTGTGATCCCAAGTTTGAGATATAGAAAATATAGACTTGACTTCCTGAAGCCTGCAAAAGTCTGATAATGTAACTTCTGACGAAATAAATATCAGAAAATTGGTTGAAATTCGCTTTGTATTCATAAGAACTATCGCACGGGGATGTATCCTAATTATGGAAACCAAGTCAAAGGACCACGCATTGGTGAAATCAGAACCAGGTTAAAATTGATTGCTACGTCATATTATTAACTTGGTTTTCAGACCCGCAATTTCTTCATTTACGATGAAGACGACGACCATTAGTAAAGATAATTAAACGAAGCAAGTGGTGTGTTATTAATATAGTATCTATTATGTGCTTGATTTATCACCTCCGTTAGAATCACTGCAGCAGGTGGCCGATATCAAACCTGTTATCAGGAAGGCAGTCCCGTCGTTCTATAAGTAACACGCCGTATTTTCGGGTACTAAACTACACCGCCATAACCATGGAGATAAAATCCAATGAACCACTAAAATGGGATGTATGAAACATTTCAGCTGAGCGCATAGTGAATGAACAAATTCACTGCCCTTTTATGTAGTTGCAGAGCCACTCATCTAAATACATTATGTGGTTCTCTTAGAACTATCATTTCAAGAACGGATAAAGTAATCCAGCCCTAGATTTTCTTCATTTTTGGCGAAAATATACTGCGATATCTCGAATATCATGCCAACTGAATCCTGAGGCGGCCTGTGTGCAGCACATTCAGTTGTAGAATATCATAAACGAGAGATTTAGTTGAGTCTCTCGTGAGAACCAAATTGATTTGCAAATGAGTGTATTTCTCGAAAACAGTGCAACTTGGGTTGAAGTAGAACATAGGGTTGACGGAAACTTAGAGACTGCACCTACCTGATAAGCCCAAAGAAGGACGAAACCGGTAGTGGGCTGTTGGAGAGCTTTTAGCAACCTTGTGCAACCTTGTGTTTCCTTTATAAAACTCCTCTTGTCTGTGGAATTCCGACGAAATATGCGCTCGATTTTGACTGTTGTACTTTGTTTACCTAATCAGTTATTGCCAACCCTAAATGCAACACGGCTGGGTTCAATCAAAATATTACGGGATTCATAGATTGCGCACTATTTAAGACAGGTACAGGACATTTTTGGGAAGGATTAAGATATTTTTCTTAGTGAGTAAGCAGGTTGACTTGGATTATCAGCAGCTGAAACAAGAGCTTATCGATAATTTCTTCTTTTGTTTGGGTCTTGGTAGGTGTCTTCGGATTTTAGAATAACATCTATGCTCAAGGATGATCAGGTTTGATCGCAAAGAATCCTGGGACTGTTCAGTTTCAGAAGATAGAATGGTAGAAGTTTGTTTGTCCGTGACAATGGAAATAGGACATTAAAATCCACCGTCGCTCTTTGATGCCCCATAGGAAGTAAAGAGTTTGTGTGATATCGCAAACCCCCGATTGCAAAGATTCGAAGCATGATTGTTTTCAGTCATTTCGTAGCATTGAAGAATAAATTATTTGCTTCGTCTCATAGATATATTAATTTAATTTTTACGGTTTCCTCTCCGTTCTTATTCTGAGGCAATCACCAATATCGTTTCGGTGTCACAGAGGCTTCACTCTCAGTGCAAACAATGTGCTGACGTACTCCGCACGGTCCCACTCAGGTGGAAATGAAAAGCTACGCTGCATTCTCACAAAATTTTATAAAATGCAAATCCTCAAGAATGTGGGTTGTGTGGGCCATCACTGTGACATGTTCAAATGCTGCAATCCCTTGAAACAACAGAGAGTGATAATAACTCTCAATCCGATAATTAACTGCCATAATCCGGGTAGTATTTTTCTTTCTATAATGTCAATTTTTTTATCTACCAAGCTACCAACGCCTTTGCATCAAATGTTAATGTCTAGCACACTACCTAATGTTTCCAAAGCTACACATACAATTATGGAGTAGATCATGCATTCGTTCAGTGAATTTCCTGAACTCTCTGACTCTGCGATGTGCATTGCTGCTCCACATCAACTTCTTTACCATAATTTAGAAGCATGAAAAGGTTACAGACACAAAATCTACCTAAACAAATCAATTTTTATTTAGAAATTTTGGAATTGATGAATCCTTTCGGATTGGCAAATGAACAAGTAATTGTAAGTGGATGGCTACTATGGTTGGCGTTCACATCCAAACTGGAATAATTAACCCTGCCATTTACTTCCGTGATTAGATAATTAGAGGGCAGTTTAGTTTCTCGCCCATTACTCCGGCGACGACTGAATTCTATTTTGATTATGGAGGTTTCCCGACTGAGTAACTTGCTATCCTAATCACCGTCTGATTCTGACGCGGCTCAGTGCATTGGAATATCCAGTATAAATCTATAGCTTCAAAACAGAATTTGTGGCTGCTCTGAAACTGTCATTAAATTTTATATGTATGGCTTCCATTGTCCTACAGCCAGCAGTAAGTACCCATATCTTGCTTAGCAAGATAGCACCTAAGAATGGTCTTATAACTTCATCTCGCACATTTTTCGACAAAAAGACCTACAACATGTGACCAAAATAGTACTCTTGTGAGTTATGGTTTAATTCCTTTTCAAAATCATATAGTGTACAAAGTTCACTCAATTCCATTCATTTAGGGCCAAATATCTTGGTCCAATAAACCAACGAATGGACGAAAATCGTAGCCAATGAGTTGGTTATACAAAAACGGCCACTAAACAACTCTGCTAACTGTAGATTCAAAACAAACAGCATTGTCTTCTGTTTGCACAGTTTAATCAAATACGCCACCCTTGAGCGTGAATGCACCTGGTGGCCGATGGCCGGCCAACATACTTTCATGATATACTCACTCTTATATCGGTATCATTCATAAAAACACATAAAAGTTAATCCCTGTGCGGTTAATTAACCGCCCAGCCCACAAAAGAAGTGTGTTGGGATGACTCTCGCGCCATGCACAATATTAAGTTTCGCACTCTTGGGTGTTTTGACTCATGGTCACAAACTTGATTCTGAATAATTTATTATTGTAGGCAAATTTTATCAGACGTCTCTCGGGGTTAGCTTCAAATAAACGTCATAAAGTGTTATGGCTGCTATATTTTATAGCTTCGTCTTTGCGATAGAATTTATTTAACAGTGAGCTAGACCCGGGAGTTGTCAACAGAATCTTTGATAAGGCTGCTCAAACCCAGGCTGTCTAGCCATGGTGATGAATTCTTGATCAAATATTCGACCTTAAGGCCTTTACACTGCGCCACTTCAGACTCAATAGGTTGATTTCTAGACTGTCAGAGAAACTATGACTTGAATGCTCCGGGGCATCGCACACAGTTTTGAGGAATAATCTAAATTTTTATAACCTCTTTTAAACGTCCGGCCATGTCTGGAAACAGTTGTTTAGTCCATTGTCGCTCGTCTATGATTCCTTACGGCCACATACTCAACTGCGGACAGTCTCTAATTATTGAACTCAAGCACTATGGGTTTCGACCGACAAGCGTGTATCGTTATTGTTGAACCTACCTTTCTCCCAATTAGGACACCCTGTGACTGTGTTATTTCATCCATCTAAAAATGTTGTGTCCTCGGCTATAGTCAGGATAGCTACTTCATTGATATTCCCGAAACTTGGTGGTAGTGTACCATCCGAGGGATTCTCAAAACCAAATATGGGCGCAGCACTTCTTGAATTTTGGAACACTTTTGTCCGATGGGCGCTGTCTGCAGCGGTCTTCCTCCTTTTCGTGAAGTCTTTCGTTTGCTCAGTTTTGTCCATTTATGGAACCACTTTTTTCTTACTCAGGCACCTAAACACCATTCTTTATTCCGTCTGACTGATCTGCTACCTACCTGTTTCATCACATAGTAGATATGCCGTTACTGTAAAAGATGTTATCTGCGGTCACGTTTCTCTGCACTCTAGAGTAGGGGATTGTATTTTTGATGATATGGACGGATAAAAGGGTTTGATATCCTTTTATAAAACGGCTTTCAAATAAGAGCGGCTTTATCAAGTATTCTTTTATAGACTGTCACCAATATGTACCAATTTCAATCACAAGAGTCACAGATCTATTACAGTTGAATAATCTACCCTTACGGAAAGAATAGGCGGGATGTTTAATTTTTCCAAAAGACTGTTCTTCTTGGTCAAAATAGTTAATTGTTCCTAGCAACAAATGGTTCGCGTTACTTTCTGCATTTTTGTTGAATTGGAGTCAGAGTAGTGCGGCGGCTTAGACCACTTGGAGAATGGAGCGAGTTTGATTTAATGTATCCCAGGAAGGCAACCCTATGCGCCAAATATAATGCAAATAAGAGATGTAAGAAACCTCTCAAACTACCAAATATGTTTTGATGCATTTAAGTGTGCAGAAGTCTCGCCACTGCATGGCAGCACTGATGTGCCGTACAGTTATGCGTGAATTTTTCGCACCATCAACGATGTTGTATAATCATTTATTCTAAACCCTATTAGAATTTCTGTGTCATATGTTGGCTTCTTTAAATTAAAACAATCAATAACGCGCATCAAACGGAATACTTGTATGATTTTGTGGTGTCAGCGGATAGTTGCAACTTACTTTTGAACCTGTTCTAGAATCACCACGGTCACCAACCCCAAGTATCTTGCGTGATTTGTGGCGACTCCACGTGTTTGATGTACTGGTCTTCCTAGATAAAGATTGAAAGATAATATATTTTTTACAAAATAAACTGAATTTATTTGTGTGATTAAACTAATGTTATAACCGAGTAAAATGAAAGCAAAATCAATATCTATCAACCCGAGAATTGCTTGGTCGTCCAAACTGGCTGGTATCTGGGGTACTTTGGTAGAGAAAAACCATCAACGGATAGGCAAATCTGATGAACACGAGGCCATTTAAGTTAAAAATTGTTACAATTGACGAAAAAATATTGATGGAAGCATGCGCGAAAATGTATGTGTTGATTGGAGGTGCTGACACCTCTGCTCCATTTGATTTTTGACTGTAACTTCAAGTAAAACCCGATTATTTTAAAACCATGGGCTTTTTAATGTCTTCAATTTTAATGAAGCAACCGCTAAAATAGTACCTATTCTGTGCCAACAACGAAACATGCAAAAATGACCAAAGATGTGGCACCAAGTAAATTTGTTTCGCAATGGGGAGTATTACCTCGCAAGTATGATGCGATTAGCTAACTAAATCTCTACTCATCACAGGCAATGCTTAAAAAACCGGACGTAGTACCTTGAATGTTCTGAAATTAGTTAGCGACCGTCAGTTCACACCTAACCGTTGTCAATAGCAATCAGCTGTAATACGGACAGTGGGTGGCGAAAACCCTGCGAGCACCGATGTGCAATATGGCTACATTAAGAGAGGGAAGATTAGAGTTCAGACAAGTTGAGCGCAGGCAAATGGCAAATACTGTGATGGACACCGTAAGTTTTGTTTGAAAACAACTAGTAACTCACCGTATATTGTCTTCAATAGAAGGCATGCCCTGTGATCATAGTCGCGTAGCTTTCCACACCACAATATACTGTTTTATTCTAGGACTGTCATAACAAACACTGCAATGCAATCCAACTCATTAGGTTAACCTGTTAACGAATTAGCCCATACAGTTAACTGGACGAAAATTTCGCGGTTATTCCCTTGTCGTTGATAATCGGCCATGCATATGTCACAAATATCTAGGGTGCTTCATGCCCTTGAGATTTGCGATAGGATGTTGACCAAGCTGCCATTTACTCACAGATGAATAAATGAATTTAGTTGGTGTTTACAAAGTAATCTTGTACAGTCATGCAGTTCTTTTCCCATGATATTATGTTGCTAATACCTGAGTACCAGACAATCCACAGTGATTTCACTTTCGATTTGATCACGCACTTAACCACTTCCCTTGCCACCTCGAACATGACTGGTCTATTCATTCATCAGTTCAAAGGAATGGTTCCTATACTAGTCTTCTAATTCTTAACAGCCAATGGCATGTGAACTCAAGCTATGTTGTTCGCAATTTTCGATTTTTTTCTACTGCTCAGTTAAATGACCACGGTGATTGAACAAGCTAACCTACCGTTTTTGCCAAAACATGCACAAAGGGCATTCTCTATTGTTATTCACGTTTCCACGAACGAATGCATCTGTATCCGATCAGCTGTCCGATTCGCCGGATAGGATTTGGGAACTCATGATACCAACTAGCGTAGAGTTTTGAATAACGGCCCTTGAACGCAGCAAAACCTGTGCGATTGCATCTGTACCCGATCAGTTGTCCGATTCACCGGATAGGATTTGGGAACTCATGATTCCAACTAGCGTAGAGTTTTGTATAACGGCCCTTGAACGCAGCAAAACCTGTCCACTGTACAAATCCAGACTACAATGCTACTCCTGATCGTGCGATCCAATAGCACATTTTCTGATAAGGTGCGCATCAGATACGACCGAGAGCAAGACGTTAGTCGTTTACGCATCCGCTGTAAATACCAAAGCAACTAACTGTCAACATGGGTGTCAATATGTTCTGTCCCAGTTCTTCATTCTGAACTGGAAAACTATATGTAACTATCATTGGTAGACAGAATATCTGGGGTTATGTGCGCCGCTGAGAACACAAAGGTCTCCATAAAACGGTGTTCTAGTAATTTCTGAAGGTGCTCATCTCTGGCTTACAGCTATCGCGTAAACTATGGCACTCCGGAAGCCAAAGCATGTTCTTATATTTTAGGAGGAATTGTTTATCAGGTTATAACTATTGGTCCATTTGTCCAAATGGGTGAAGTGGGTGAATCCGCAAAAGTGAACTAAGAAGAAACCAGTCCATCTATAGATGAACTGATAGTTGTCCATAGTTCTCATGTTGGTTCACTCCATCAAATATGCCAGTTTATACTTCGTGCATTATGATGTTCCTGGAGAAGGAACAAGTTATATGGATATCATTTGTTTATTACAGGTTCACCATTCTAATCTAATTACCCTGACTTTGGACGGAATGTCTGAACAACACTCAAAGTATCTGAATGCGCTTGCTCACGGATAGCTGGAGCAAACATGCAATAGCAGACCTGCATTTGTGCTTTGCGAACGGCTGGTTCGAGCGTAAAGGATTTTGTTCGTATAGTGGAGAAACAAGCTAAGGTATACTAAAGAAAGTTTACTCCAGTATTATCACTGCTATACATTCCAAAGATAAACTGTGAGGCCAGTGGCGTCTTTTGGCTAAGAGATAAACTAAAATGCTAAGGCAGCCTGAAGGAATTTCGGTCTGTGAGGTCGACTGTTTTATGCTTTGACCTTGGATGAATAGCAAATGCTCGACGGTTGATAATTTGTCATATAGATCGCTAACGATGAAGCAGTAATGCACCGTGTGGTTTGTTAAGTGTTTCTTTGCTTGCATTTCGAGGTCTCTATCAATTCTACTAATGTATGTATCAACATAACTGCGGGTAGTATGATTAACAGAGTGGGTCATTGACGAGACCAACAGTGCCATTTCGGTTGGCTACATTCGCATTCTCCTCGTCTGCTGCAGCATATCCTAGACGCAGGGTCACATTTAAAGTTTGTTTGAATTGGCTAAGGTCATGATCACTGGTGTATTGAAGATCTAGATAAGTGACTTTCTTGGGCATCGTAGTTCACGCTTCCTCTTTGTCAGATGTTATGAAGTCTTTATCGGTGGAATTATTAGGATAATTTTTTGACCGTGATACTTCAAGCTTTTGTATGTGAACAACAAAAACCAAGCTAGAAAGACAGGATACACCTATCTTTGGCCGCAGTTTTGAGGCATCATACGACCACTGAAAGCGCATCCATTTCGGGGAAAACCGCTATCAAGTGTAAGTTTATAAATAATTTATTCGTGGTTTAAGGTTGAAACCAACATTTTGCCGGTATGGATAACAGTGCCATTTCGGTTGGCTACATTCTCATTCTCCTCGTCTGCTGCAGCATATCCTAGACGCAGGGTCACATTTAAAGTTTGTTTGAATTGGCTAAGGTCATGATCACTGGTGTATTGAAGATCTAGATAAGTGACTTTCTTGGGCATCGTAGTTCACGCTTCCTCTTTGTCAGATGTTATGAAGTCTTTATCGGTGGAATTATTAGGATAATTTTTTGACCGTGATACTTCAAGCTTTTGTATGTGAACAACAAAAACCAAGCTAGAAAGACAGGATACACCTATCTTTGGCCGCAGTTTTGAGGCATCATACGACCACTGAAAGCGCATCCATTTCGAGGAAAACCGCTAGCAAGTGTGAGTTTATAAATAATTTATTCGTGGTTTAAAGCTGAAACCAACATTTTGCCGGTATGCATAATTTCATCCTTCAACTGTTCTCCAACAGCGTTTATTTCTGTCGCAAGTCTACAGTGAGTAACCTAATAAAGAGCTAAGTCTATCCCGAAGATGACAAAATGCCTGTTACTTTTTATGGATAGGCACCTGAGATGACAAAGCGACGCATGCAAATTTCACATCAAACAATTTACACGCAAACAACCTATGTGTATTTATGTCACTGACTGTTGCAATGCAGTTATGACAAGAATTGAGGCTGGGCTGACCGAGATGCAAGACAGATCAATTGTAAGCCTTTCGTAGCCAAGGCAGTAAAACGTAAAATCCAGTGAACATACTGATACTTCGACTGAGGAGTTTAGGAAATCCGGGACAAGATCGTTTTAGAAGGAAAATTTGAAGCTGTTATGCAGTTCGTTTTTAGATCATGTTATATGTCCCTAACTCCGCTCCTGTTGCTCCTCATTCAACTGTTGAGTCAGGTGAGTACGCAGAAGGATTGAACGATCTTGATCACGTAGAATATCCGACAAAGTGACTTCAATAGAAAGAAGATTTGCTCAGTAAGTTTTAGGTGTAAACGGGGTTTGTAGAAAATGTGTCATAACACATTTATTTTGAAGCTAATTTTAATTTTCGGATATTAAAAATCGGAATAATTGGGCTCGCTTTGTGCTCTGACTGGCATCAATACATATTCTTGACCACTTTGGGCTTGAACCTCAAACAAAACCTGCAGGGTGACCTTCAGCGTACAATCGATGCTCCCGAACAGACGCCAATAAAGAGTTTTCCAAATGTCGACCGAGTTACCGACCTGTCAGGATTTTTCGGCCAAAGAACCTCACGGACGCTTGGATAATGCTGGACAAATTTTGCTTAATTTTGGTTGATGCGGGAATTAAAGAACACGCAATGGGAATATTAATCATATCCGTGAATCCTGAACAATGTATTCTGCTCAAATGTGATAGTTCATTTGCGTTAAGCGCGCATTGATGGAATAGTTCTAGCTTGCTCATCCCTCGTGTCTTATGTCGGGGGTTCAAATTCCAGCGCCGTCAGTAATGTGCAGTAATGATGAGCCCCAGTGAGAGAGCAACACAAGTCAACTGCTTCTGCTCTCTCATGTAAGTCAACCAAAATAAATGCACCAGGTTTATCCACCCGATATTGGTTTTATGATGCGATTGCTCTAGTTGACCAGAGTAACATTTTGCAGCTTCGCATATTGTCCTTTTGATTATCAGCTCTCCTTAATTGTCCAAGGTTTACCTCATTATTTTTTGCAGGCAAACACCTTTGCAGGACATCGAATGCCCGTTTACCTCATTTCGTCGTGCTAAGTGCTTTGTGAC